AGTGCAATTGCTGGGTCATAGGGTAGCTCTATTTTTAAATTTTTGAGGAAACTCCACACTGTTTTCCCAAGTGGCTGTACCAACTTGCATTCCCACCAACAGTGTAAGAGGAGGGTTCCCCTTTCTCGAACAACCTCTCCAACATTTGTTGTTTCTTGCCCTGTCAGTTTTTGCCATTCTAACTGGTGTAAGGTAAATCATTTAAAAAGAGTTCACAGATTATGCTGAAACAAGTAGGACTATAGAAAAAATCACTAAAAATAGTGATGGAAAAATATTGTAGTGCTTTTGTGTTATAAGTGATTTAAGAAATTGACACATGCATCTGCCTGGCAAGTATTTGGAGCAGGTAGAGGAGAAGAGGGAAGGGTGAAGGGCTGGACTGCAGAAGAGAGCTTTAAAGGAACTCTTTGAAAGAGGTGCTGCCAACTCTAGATTCCCTACATGTATATATTTCCAAAGATGACAGATTTTTGGAGGTGTTTATTTTGGAACTAATCTTCTGTATTTCCATTCTGCCCCCACTGTATCCTGTATCTTGCACTGCCAGAATTCTGCTAGCTGCAATGAAGCAGGGCTGTGGCAAGGGGCCAAGTGTGATAAAACCTATTTTTCATTTTAAAACAGAGTATGGATGTCAGAATACTTCAAAGAAGTATTTAAGGATAGATTGAATGGAGTAGGAGAAATAGTAAAAACCTAATGAGAAGATTGAAAGTTTCTGATTTGCTTTTGATGGAATTACATTTATTTTGTAAACAGAAGAATACCAGCTTATGTTTGTCTCTGTCAGTTTCTCTCTTTCTTGTCCCTCTTTCTCTGATCTTTGCGTGCTGGTGCAAGGAGCTGCTAAATACACAGGAGAAATGAGTTTTCTGATCCCGAAGAGGTGGTAGTGATTTTTTGTTGTTGTTGTTTTGTTTTTATCTTTTGAGGGGATCCCAAGGGTATGCTCTATGTGAATGTCTCATTACACATATGCATGTTAGTAATTCAGTTTTGTTTATTTCATTCTTGCTTTAACCACCTCCTCCAAAAATGAAATCTTTTCTTTTTTTCATTTCTGGCTCTGACTTAAGCTTCAAAACAAAATGTTGTCTAAACGTTGTTGAGATGGTAAAACAATTGTAGCATAACATTGCAGAATTTTGAAATATTCATTTATTAGATGGAAAATTGAACTGCAACCAGTACTTTAATTTTAATATCTCATTCTACATTGACATTTGATTCAGAATGAAATCAAGTTCCTCGCTTGGCCAAGTGCCACAAAGTTGGGTGAGCTTTAAATATGTAACGACTTGTTTTTAGTGATTGCTAGAGGTTTGAGCAGTAAAAAGGGGAAAATGAAAGGGAACTCTAGCAGATTGCCTAAAAAGAGTATTCTTGGTAAGATTAAAAGTAGAGACAAGCTGAGGCCCTGAGTTATGGATCTGAGTCACATCCAGCCAGCATCAGAAAGTAGCAGCATTAGTGGAAGAAAACCCAGGTCAGTCCTGACGAGGGTCTGTCAAAGCTCACCTGGAAAGGGCATTCCATCACCAGAGGGTTTCTTTGGGGGGTGGGGGTGGGGGGATGGGGTGGGTGTGGGGTGGGTGTGGTGTATTCCTTCATAAGAAAATTACCTTGTATTCAGTTAAGCCGAACAAAGGGAAAAGTCTTTTGTTTTTAAAGTATGAAGTATGTCATGTCTATAAAAACAGGTATAATATTTATTTCTTTTAGCTTGAAAAATTAAATAGGACAACTATAATTGCTGCCCAAAATATCCTTCCTCAGTCTTATTTCTTGTCCTCTCTCCCAAAAGTACCATTCTTTCCAGTTTGGTACTTACCATTCCCATGCATGTGTTTATGCTTTTGTTTATCTGACTGTCAAAGTTACATAGTACTCTAAGTATGTTTTAACCTCACTTGGAAGATTTTACACTGTATGTAGTTAATGTAATTTGTTCTTTTTACTTAAATACTTTAAAAGAATATGTTGATACATGTAGTTCTAGTTTATTCATTTTTAACTGTTTTGTGGTGTTTCATTCTCTATTTCTCATATTTAACCATTCTCTTGTTGACTGAAAGTCTTTTTAGCTGAATATTTTGGAGGGACAGGAAAAAGGGAATTTATTTCATTTTAAAAGTTAGACTAGGAATGTTTTTTTTTTTTTTTTCCTTTTTTGGTGTGGAATGTCCTCATTTATCATATTCCTGGGAAAATCCTTTGTATTTCCGGAGAGAAGCAGGAGGAGAAGAATAATGTTTCATTACACAGATGAACATGTCTTGTGCAAAATGCCCAACAGCATTTGCTCTAATACAGCAAGCTCATGCGGGATTGAGCTGCTACAGCAAAAACTTGTTTTGCTCTATAAAAATGCTCAGATTTTTGAAGTGCAGACAAGCTTCGAAGGAAACTTGTTGGCCTTTATTCATTGTTTCTTTTCTGTGTGTTTGGAATAATTTGCAGTTTGGGACTGCTTTCTTTTGTAAAAAGGACTTGTGCCTTAAATGGTAAAAAGACTGTTCTTGAATGGTGTCATGGTTTTATGGAGCAAAGGAAAAACAAGGTCTAGGAATGAGGGGGAAAGTACTTTTTGAGGGAGATAATTGATGTGAAATAAGTATTTGTTTTAATAATAAACCTTATATATACATTTGCCATTGAGTATTCTTTACTTTGTAGTCATTATTTTAGAAAGGCAATCTCTGATTAATTGTTTTTTTTCCCAATTTCATGCAATTGTCTTTTATTTGCAACATTTTTGATAATGGTTTGGATAGTGTTGCAGAATACACAGTACAGAACTCCGTTCAGGTTGTCCCTCCAAATGATTTGCTCTTGTGCTTTAACCAGAAATACTGATGCAGCAAGGGAAACACTAATACATGGGATGCTTTCCAGGGACTGTAGCTAAGGCAAACACAAGCCAAAATTCAGAAGAATATGTGAGCTAGGCACACAAGATGTAGTCTGGCCAAATATGCTATTAACAGTGAATATCCCATTCTAATTAAATTAATTGAGGTCTGGACAATTTGAATCATCAGACTGTCTGTTAAAAAGGTGACCCAACTTTAAGCATTTTAGAATTAGGGAATAGTGCAAGAATAGTTTTTTGGCTAAAACTTATTTACAATGAAAAATTATCTTTGCTTTTTCTTATTAGAGAGATTCTAATGCCTCAAGAATGATTAAATTCAATTGCCTGTTTGTTTCTTCCATTCTGGTTCTGAGGGAAAGGATGCTGAAAGGACCTGCAAGTAAAAGAGATAATGAAAAAAAAAATTTTTTTTGAGGGGGGGTTAGATGGAAGAGAGAGTATTGAGAATTAAGAATTGAGAATTAACTGATTAAGAATGATTTTTGTTTTTTGACTATTGCTGCTTTTCTTGCAAGTCGCTATTTTTTTATTCACAAATTATTTTACCCACAAATAGTGTGGGCATTATGAGAGGAGGTGGTGGTACATGAACAGGCTCTTTTTAAAATTGTTGTTCTGGAAAAAAATTTGTTATTGGTCTGGGTTTTGAGTGATCTCTGATTAAATTTGCCAAGAGTCAAGCATTTTGAAACAGAACTCCTAAATCAGAGGGTTGTGGGGCTAGGTAAACAAATTAGTTTTGTAAATTTGCTTCTGAAACTAGTGAAAGTTCTGAATGAATCTGGATAAGCTGAGACTTCTATTGCCAGGCTCCCCTTCAGTTTAAAATTTTTTTTTCTTGTTTAAGAAAAAGTGGGGGGGATGCCTGGCTGGCTCAGTTGGTAGAGCATGCAACTCTTGATTTTGGGGTTGTAAGTTCACCCATTGGGTGAAGAGATTACTTAAAAAAAATCTAAAAAAAACTATTTCTTCTTCCCTCATTGTTTACTAGCGTTCCGTTTTTTTAAATGCTAGAAGCATAGAGAAGAGTGAAACAAATTTCACTTCTTTAAAACTATTTTTAGAAATATTGGTCTATGAATTGTTGCTTTAGATTCTCTACTACATCTATATGAGCTTACCGGGTGGTTATCAAAGATTCAGTACTTTCTCTGGAAAAAAATGTATATTTGAGAGTTTCTCATAACCTTCTGGATTTATTCTAGGTTATAGCTAAAATTCTTTCAAAAGCGCCCTCTTGTCCTAAAGGTCACTTGTAATGACTAGAAGCTAAGAGTGACCTAAACAACATCTTTTCAAACTTTCTTTTCTTTGTTGTCATTTGCTGAGGTATCCATGTCAGCAGGCTCAGGAGAGCCTTTACCTTTGACATTGACATTACTTTTTTCTATTCTTTTAGGTCTTTCACTACCATTTCTACAGTGGTTGACAAGATACCGTTTCTTCCTCACTCACCATGTACCATGCCAGTGACATCTTAGCTGCTAGAGTGTGGAGCTGGCCTGTGGGAGTCAAGTAAGTGCCTTTTTTACTATTTGGCATGGTTTTTGCTTACTTTGCAAAGCCATGTAGAGGAACTTCTTAAGATTAGTTTTTAAAAAGGCACTTGCTTGATCCTTGGGGGCTGGCTCTTTGCTCCAGCCTGCTATTGAACATCTGGTAGCTAACATGGGGCTGAATTTAGCAAGGTGACTATCACAGAATGGAACATTTTTATTAGGATAAACCCTAAGAGATGATAGATCTGATCTTGGCCTAATTAGCCCATTTATGTTGATGAGCAACCCCTGTCCTATCCCAGAGTAAATCAGAACTTCTGTGTTAGCTCAAACAGTTAGTCTGGCCTTCTGAAATTTAACAGGTTATGAATGACCAAGGGTCTGCTGGTCTAAAACAACTGGGTTGCATGGAAACAGAACAGCTCTCCCAGGAAAGTCGATGACGTTGACACTTACCTGAATTAATTTAGCTTAATATATAGAAGTGATGATTGGCATTAATCAGGTTTGGGTTTCTGTTATTGCTAAAGTTGCTAAAACCTGGTATTTTACTTTTGCAGGTCACCTTGTAAATTTTGCCTATATAAATTAACACATCCTCTGTTATGTCATAACAACCATGTAAGGGAGAGTGTTTTCCTGCTCTGTCTTAGGTATTGGTGATGTGACCTCTTCACGCAGGGGAATCTTGAACATTTTCAGGTATGTGAAGATCATGATTCATAAATATTTTGTCCCTGCAGACAAAACAGAGTTTATATCAGTGTGAACTCATGATGTGGTTTTACAAAATCTATCTTGCCAGTTGATTTTTCTCCCCTTGGTATTAGAACAGGGATTGGCAAATTACAGCTAAGACCATTTGTTTTTTTGAATAAAGTTTTGTTGGAACACACACCCATTCTTTTACACATTGTCTGTGGCTGCTTTTGCACTACAGTAGCAGAGTTGAGTTGTTGTGACAGAGACCATATGATTCACAAAGCCTAAACTATCTGTATTTTTGTTT